GCGGGAAAATTTTGAAATTTTATCTTATAATTTTTAATTTTTTTTTGGCGGGAAAATTTTAAAATTTTATCTTACATTTTATTTTTTTTTTGGCGGGAAAATTTTGAAATTTTATCTTATAATTTTTAATTTTTTTTTGGCGGGAAAATTTTAAAATTTTATCTTACATTTTATTTTTTTTTTGGCGGGAAAATTTTGAAATTTTATCTTACATTTTTTAATTTTTTTTTTTTGGCGGGAAAATTTAAAATTTTACCTTATAATTTTTAATTTTTTTTTTGGCGGGAAAAATTTGAAATTTTTTTTTACATTTTTTTATTTTTTTTTTGGCGGGAAAATTTGAATTTTTTTTTTTTTTACAGTTTAAACGTGTCACTAACTTAGTTTTTTTATCTTTTTTCTTTTCGATATAAAAAAAAGAAAAAAAATTTTTTTTCGATTTTTTTTTTCTCTTTCTCCCTTTCTCTCTCTCTGTCTCTCTCTCTCTCTCTCTCTCTCTCTTTTTTTTTATTACCGAGTAATACAGTTTACTTTTTAATCGATTTTTAATTAATAATAATAACAACTCTAGAGTAATAATTATTCCATATGTTTTTTTTAAATCAATATAATTTATATAATTTTTTTTTTTTTTATCAGAAACGATAAGAAAAGAGAAAAAATTCCAAAATCCACCCTTTTATGTAAAAAAAAAAAAAAAAAAAAAACTTGTTGATAACCTGAGGCTTATTATTGTCAAAGGTTATTTTTAATAATTAACGTTTTTTTTAAAAGTAAATAAATAAATAAATAAACGCGTTTACCTTGATTATGTTCATTTTTTTTTTGCCTAACAGTTTATCAATTAATTGTTTTTTAAAAAGTAGCAGAAGAAAAGAGAGAGAGAGGAGAAGGAGAAGGAGGAGGAGGGGGGAGGGGGAAGGGAGAAAGAGGTTTTTTAAATAAGACGCAATTTCTTTTAATTCTTTTTTTAATAAAAAAAAATTTTTTTACACACGCCAGAATAATTTAAACAATAAGAAACGGAAAAAAAAGTCATAGAGATAAATTTTTCTTTAACCACGTCAAATAATAATTTTATTATTAATTAAATTACTCACGATCGATGAGAAAATAAAATAAAAAATAATACATTTAAAAAAAAAATCGTATGAAAATATTTAACCTTTGACTTATTTATTAAAAAATTTTTAATTAAGTAATAACTTTCTTTAATAATTTTTGTTGTTGTTGTTGTTGTTACTTAATAACGATTAAAAAAAAAAAAATTACGTAAAATACGAGTTTTATAAAAGAAAAAAAAAAAAAAAAAGTTTTTGATCCAGTTTAACGTTTAAATTTTTTGTTTTCAGATGGAAACTTTCTAACGTATGAAAGATCAAAGGAAAATTACACCGACCTTAACCCATTCAGGTAATAAAAATAATCAGTCGTGGTTTTAACTTTTTTTTTTTTTTTTTTTTTTGTTTCTTCAACACCCATTAATTAATTAAACTCTTTTTTTTTCTTTTATTCATACGTTTTAAAACTAATTAAAAAAGACAAGTCATTTTTTTTCTTCTTCCAATTCGTGATTCTAAATACACGACCGAAAACTTTTTATTTAAAAAAAAAAAAAAAATATTGACAATTGTTTTATAAAAAGATTTTTTTTTAAGGGAATATTTGATCGATTTAAAAAAAAAAAAAATATTTTTCGGGTTTTGAACCTTCCCCTTTTTCTCCCCGCCCACGCACCCGCACTCCCCACCCCCACGTTTTCGAAGGAAAAAAAGATGAAATCAAACGTGAAGCGAGATTGAAAAATAAAGAAAAAAAAAAAATTTATTGTCGAAGATGAATGTAGCGAACGAACGTGAAATAGAATTTAAAACGGGGTAAAAAAAAAAAAAAAAAAAAAAAAATAGGTTCGGTTTTTTTTCTTCCTCCTTTTCAGGTACAAAAAAAAAATGTATAAATCGACCTTTCCCAAGGACGTTAAAAGATGAAAAGATGAAAAAAAAAGAACCAGGTTATGCAGTTTCGATTCATTTAAAAATGAAAAATGTTTTCGAGCTGAGTTTATAAGGTATATATAAATTCTTTTGACACGGTTTCTGCTACTACTTCTTTCCCCTCTCCCTTCCCTCTTCCTCTTCCTTCCTCTCCATCCTCCTCCTCTCTCCCTATTCGATTCAGATTTGTATTATTTATTCTATGACCTCGTTTTTATAACGTTTTTAAATGATTAAATGATGATAAATTATTAACATTATTATTATTATTATTTGTACGTGGCAGATGAATTTTTTTTTTGTAACAAAACAATCGAAATTTCAAGAACTAAAAAGAAAAAAAAATTTATCCATTCGACGAGGTAATGAATACTTTTAATAAAAAAAAAAAAAAGTTGAATCGAGTCTCTCGAGTACGTTAGTTCGTAGCATCCTCATCAAAAGATCAAAAACCTCCTCATCAATCTTACCAGGTTCCACGTCTCTCTTTTCTCTCTCTCTCTTTCTCTTTCTTTTTCTCTCTTTCTCTTTTTTCTTTCCATAGAGCAAAATGCCAAGAGGTCGAGGACAACTGACCGTCCTTCACCTTGACATCTCATCGCATAAGACTACAAAAACATTTTTTTTTTTTTTTTTTTTTTTGATTATTCAAACGTGTCAATAGAAATTTTATTACACGCCTTTTTTTTTTTTTATCATTAATAACGCACCGGTTTTATTTTAAAGTTGGTTAACGTTCGACGTGTGTCATAGAGTAGTAGTAGTAGTAGTTTAAAAAAAATATTTTTTGTCTTCTGCTACTTTCCGTGTTATTATTATTTTTCACGTCGAATCATGTTTACGTAGCGCGGAAATAAAAAAGTTTTTAACCTAAAAAAAAAAATACAAAAAAAAAAAAAATTAAAAAAAAAAAATAATTAAATAATCGGAATTTTTTACTTTAAATTTTTTTTTTCTCTCTCTCCTGTTTTGATATGTAAAAATTTTTACTCGGAAAATAAAATCCGGTATTTCAGGTACGCAATATAACAACAACAACAACAACAAAAGTTTTTTTTTTTACGTTAAATTAATAATAATGATAATTTAAATATTTTCTTTGGTATTTTGTGTTGTTATTATTATTACGTTAAAAACGGGAAATATCGTACCTTGTTTTTTTCGGTTATAAATTTTCGAAACTTTTATTTTAAAAAAATTTTATCGTTAATTTTTGATCGTACCTCGATTTGAACCTCCCTACCCCCCCCTCCCCTAAAGTGTTTTTTTTTTTTACTTTATTCACGTTTAATTAAAATTTATTTTTACTCATCCCCCTTTTTTAAGATTCTTACCTGAATTTTTGATTTTAAAACCCAATGTTTTTAAATTGATAAAAATTACTTGGAGGGGATAATGAGAGGGAGGATAAAGGGGGGAAGGGGGAGGAAGAAGCAGAAGATTTTTATTTAAATCCCCCCAAAAAAAAAAAAATGCAATTTTACATCTATCTCTTGACGTAATTTTTTTTTTTTTTTTTATCTTTTTTATCCTTTATACGTCACTGATCATTGTACGTTTAACCTGTAAAATTTTTAAATATTTTTTTAAATATTTTGGTATGCGAATTATTTTTAGGTACGTACCTGAATGCGGTTTATTTTTTTTTTCTTCTTCTTAAATTCAAAAAAGTTTTTTTTTTTTTTTAAAAAAAATTGAGAGTAAATTATTTTTTTCTCACCTTTTTTTTTAAAAAAAAAATATTTTTAAGGTTATCTTTTGGAAATAATAATGATAATAATAATAAGGATAATATTTAGGGTTTATTTTATGGGTATCTTAAATAACAAAAAAAATAATCATCAATCAAAAAAAGTTTTCAAAAGTTAGAAAATTGATTGTCAGATTTTGTCAGGTTTCAATTGACTTTTGTACGACCTTTGATGTTTAAATTTGTTTTTATTATTATAAAATACCTGAATTTTTAAAGTTTGTGTGTGCGTGTGCGAGTGCGTGTGTGCGTAATAAGAAAAGTATGTGAAATATTTTTTTTTAAATCGTTTGCCCCCCCCCCCTTATTTATTTATTTATTTTTTTTCAAATTGCACACCTGCAAATATTTGTTTACACGTATGAAACGTCGCGCGGCCATCTGTTGTTGTAAATTGGTACCAAAACAATTTTATTTTAAAGTATCCCCGATAGATGTCTCTGATTTTAATAAAAATTTTTATTAGTTTTTCAATTTGTCCTCTGATCTCAATCAAACCGTTAAATAAAATCGTAATCACGTTTTCAAAATGGATTCGGAAAAAAATTTCAACGGATATAAAATACGTTAATTCAAATCATTTTAAACTTTATCCGTTTTGAAATATTATTTAGAGATTTTAACCGAAGGATTTAACGTTTATGTAAATTGTTAAATGAAAGAATAACCGTTTGAACTTTTAATAAAAGGGTGCTTGCTGCTTAGATAGCACATAGGTCCAAACGGGCCTGTGGGGTATGGTTATCAAGACATATCCAGCACGTAATTTTTGTACCTGTAGGGCTGTTGACTGCCAATATGCATCGACGCCCTCGTAATCGACCTCAATGATAATAATCTCTTATACCTTTCGCACTTTCCACGTGTACCTGGCAATTACAATTTAATTATCGGGTGAGTAGGTTCTTTTTTTGGCAATCGGGTTGCTAATTATTATCCCCCCTGGAAGGTGTTAACTTCATCCCATCGTAACCTTTAAAAATAATAATAATAATAATAATAAATGTTATTATTCGACTCGAAATTTTCCTTATAATTAAGAAGGTTTAAAAGGTCAAAGTGTTAAACGAATTTTTTTAACCTTTTCCGAAAAAATTGTTTTTTTTTTTTCATGGAAGTATAAATAATAATAATAATAATAATATAAATTTTTCTTTTTATTTTAGTGAAATTGATAAAATGGATTCATAGCAACGTTTCATTTATATTTAAACATATATATTTATGTGATATCAATTGAAAAAAAAAAATTGACCATGCCTGGAACGGAAAGACGACATAGCACATCATCCGAGGATGCTAATGCTCCACCACCATTAAGACAAGTATGTACCGATTTTTCTTTTTCTTCTCCTTACCTCCCCCTCCCCTCTCTCCCTCCCTCCCCTCCTCCCCTCTTTACGATCTTTTTGTTAATAAATGATATGTTATCAACAGTTGTCTCAAGACGGTACGGAAATAATACCAACGAGAATGTCTAAAGTGACGACACCGAAACCTGCTTCAAATCCGTTACAATTCATCAAAACGGGTCCGTGCGATTTGTACAAGGCGGCACAAGAGCAAATAAAAAAGGTTGAAGAAATAAAAAAAGTTGAAAAAGTCAAAGATGACTCCGAGGATTGGCAATCGGTGAGTTTAGAATTAAAATAACAATGATATCAATCAAATCAGTAATAACCTATGCTAATGATACGTTATTGGTGGAATCGAAAACAACAAACAAACAAACAAACAAACAAAAATAATCAAAACAATATCGTGATAAAAAATTAATTTATTGATTTATCGATTTAAGTTATTGATTGATTTGCGATCATCGTCGAGAGTCGTGAGTTGTTAATTTTTTTTTTTTTTGTTTTATTTAGAATTTGGACAATTGGAAATGTAGCAGAAGAAAACGACAGGAACATATTATCGAAAGAGTTGTCGAAGTTAAAAAATTCGAATTGGAAGAACCGGATAGAAATAGGAGAAGAAGTAAAACATTTAACGAAATGATAGAAGAAAGGTAAAAAAAAACAAAATCATTATCGATAATATAAAATTACGTGGTAATATCATTATTATTATCATTATCATTATCATATTTTAGAAATTCGAAAGGTGGATTGAGAAAAATGAGTATATTGTCGTATTCCGAAGAGGATTCAAACGATTTGAGCGATCTTGGTTTGTCGAGTAATAAAGAAAAACCCGGTGGAGGGGATTTTTCCAACAATCAGGTAACAAACAACAAACGTTTTAACGAATTTAACGAATTTCAAATTTGACAACTCACGTTTTTTTATTTATTTATTTAAAAATCAGAACGGTTCGAACAGTTTTCACGAAGAAAGGGAAGAACCCGTTGTAACAAATACAAACGGTCATAATTCGACAACATACGACGAAGGATCGTCAACTCCGGCAACAATATCATCACCCGAACCGGAAGAATACACGTACGAAAGAGCAATACAAGGTTACATGAATTTTGCAAATAAAGCAAAAGTCAAAACGACAAACGATAAGAGTGGTGGGGGTGGCGGTGGAGGTGGTAACACGAACGGAAACGTTAATTTTAAAATAAGTTCTATGAAAAAAGAACCCGGAACGAAAATCGGTGAAAAATTATCCGAACTCGAACAGATACGATTGAGAAGCAAATCGACAAACGACATTAGCGGTGGTTGTTCTTCGGATCCATCAAAACAATTACCAAAAGTCGACGTACTCAAAAGGCGTTCGCTTTTCGAAAACGTAGACGGAACGGATTCGAAAACCAACGAAAAAACATCGAAAGAATTTCCCGTGACGAAATCAATCAAAGAAAGATTGTCCAATTTGGAAAAGAATAAAGAGGAAGAAGGAGAAGAAATCAATTCGAAAACGAATCGTTCGTCCGTGGAAGTAACACCCCTCATAAAAGAAACGATATTGAATTTGGAAAAGCAAAAATCCATCGTGGAATGTTCGATGGAAAAAAATCGACTTTCCACGGATGAAATTCCATCTCAAGTGTCCATTCGCGAAAGATTAAACACTTTGGAAAAACAACAAAACGACAAAGATGGTATTATAACGAAAAATAAAATAATAACGACCGAAGAAGTCGGACCGGTTTCTATAAAAAAAATCGTGGCGGATTTTGACGTGGCAACAACAACAACGCCGACAACGACCACGACGACGAAAGAAATAACGGGAAAATTAACACCGGAAAGAGATGCGGGATTCAAAGAAAAATTAGAAACTTTTAAACAAACGGAAAAAATTCAAAATAATCACGTTGTAAATAATAATAATAATAATAATCAACAGCAACAAGAGGATTCTTCCAAATCAAAATTCGAACATTTGGATATTGATAATAATAATAAGGATAAATCGAAAACGGAAATGAATTCGAAAATCGTTCAAAATCACGGACAAGAACAACCGACGACCGTTCAACCCGATGACAAGGATTACAAAACAACAATGGCGGAAACTGTAAGTTCACAAAAAGGACAACAACCCTCTTGTACAGATACGGTGAAGGTGAATAATAATAATAATAATAATAATCAAATTAACCAAGAGACTGATAATAATAATTTTAAGGGTGTAAAAATGGCGGAGGGAAATTTTAACAACACAGCCGTGGGGATGGGTTCTCCATCTGATATTTCAAAAATAACCAACAATAGAACGTCTTCGTCACAAACTGACGTCACAAATTCATCACAGATGATGACGATGATGGAAAAATCAAATCCTTCGGATGTTTCTAACACGATCGTCACGCAAATATGCCTTCCCGATAATTCCCGTCCTAGATTTAACATATCCGTTTCCTTAAATTCGATATCTCGTACAATCGATGACGATAATAATCGTATGACGAACGCGTATTACAATAACGATATAAAGACAAACGAAACGAAAGAACTGACAAATAAATACAATCACCACACGACGACGACGACAGGTACGACGAGGAATAGAGTAAGAAAACTCACACCCATGATAACAAATCCAAAAATGTCAACGTCATCTCTATTGAAAACCGTTTGCGAATTGCAAATAATAGAAGAAAGTGAAAATATAGATCGTGACGTTTGCAACCACGATGGGAACAAAGGGAAAAATGTCGGAGATCATCAAAACATGGTGTCGCCATCTAAAAAACAAAACATATCCGGGGATTTCTATGAGGGTGATAACGAAGTTCAGGTACGCGTTCGTGCAAATAGACAAAGAGAGAGATTTTTTTAATACTTTTTTTTTTTTTTTTTTTGCATGAATTATTTCGATTTAAAAAAACAATCCTTTTATCCCCTCTCTCTCTCTCTCTCTCTCTTCCTCCTTTTACTTCATTATTTCTTTCTTTGTTTGTTCGACGAAAACAATTTTCCGCCATTTTCTTTGATTTCTCCTTTGGAGATTAACATGCATGCGGGTTTGGTTATTATAATTTATTATCAATTTAACGTTTTCGATGCGTTTGGTTGTGTGTGTGGGTGGGTGTGTGCGGGTGTGTTTGCATGTTTTGGTGCCACGTCAATCGATAATTATTATTATTATTATTTTGCAGTTAAAATTTTTTGAATTATTAAAAAAAATAATTAATTTATTAACGAATTTTTTTTTTCTTTTTGTTCTTTTTGTTGTTTCTTCTTATCAATTATTTCTATTTCCGGTTTGAATGAAATCACTGATAAGAAGATAAAAAAATTTTTTTTTTTTTTTTTTTTTTTTGTTACCCCCCCATGTAATTATTATTATTAATTGATACATAATTTGAAATAAAATTTACATTTTATAGCCGTACATTTACATTTTTTATTCTTCGTCGATAGTTTATTATATTTATTAATTAATAACGATTGTGATTTAATTATTAATAATAATAATAATGATAATGATAATAATAATCATTTTAGGAGTTAGAATAGATTTTTAGGATTTAAAAAAAAAAAAAAAACAAAAATTATTTAGTTGTGATATAATTTTATTATTATTTTCGATTGATCGATGAATCGATAGATTGTTACATTATCGATTGAATATAATTAATTTTAATAAATATATATATTGTAAAAAATATTAATAATAATTAAAATAATAATAATAATTTTTATTAAAAATTTATTATTAATTTATTTACTAAAAAAAATATTTAAATAAAAAATTGATTGGGTGATAAAAACGTAGGTAAAATTTATTAATTAATTTTAAATAATTAATTAGATGTAGAATAGTTTTATGTAGTGGTTATAAATGCTTTTTATATGTTAGCTAGTGCCACGTCACAAAATTTTAACATCATTATTTAAAAATAATTAATAATTTTTGTACAAGGGATTTTGTTCAAGGGTGGTTTAGGGATCAAGGTTTGGTCAAATTTTTATAAAAAAAAAACTAACAAAAAATTTTTTCACTAATTCCACGTTTCTCTCTCTCTCTCTCTCTCTCTCTCTCTCTCTCTCTCTCTCTCTCTTTCTTTCTATTTTAAGGAATCGTGAAAAGAGCAAAAAAAAAAAAAAAAAAAAAAACTTATTTTCCTATCGCTTATTAATAAATAACCTTCGATAAGAAAATTTTTTGCAAAAAATTATCATCATATCTTTCAAAGCAAGAGAAATGATAATGATAATAACAATAATAATAATAATAATAATAATAATAATGAAAAGGGAAAAGCTTTGTAAATAAATTCGTTATCGTTATCACTTTAATTATTATTGTAATTTTTTTATTTTTTGTCAGAACGTATTAGTAAACGATATGATAACAAACGTCGATAAAGAAGATGTAGAAGATGTAGGAGAAGAAGAATTTCAAGATGATTTAAAAGAAGATTCTATCATGTACACGGATGAAAATATTGATGAAGTCCTCGGAAAAGATGAGGATGATGACGAATTAGAAACAATGGTAGATGATGAATTACAATCGGAATCCCAAACGGAAGAAGATAAAATAAAAAAAGAATTGGATATATTTACACCGAAAGAACATTCGGATGTTATACTACCGTTGAAACCGGAAATCATGGATAAATCCATTTCCGTTATTGGTAATTACGAAAATGTTTACATAACCAATCAGGTACGTTTTTCTTTTCCTTTTTTCTTAATCGACCTGTTTTAATTTTAAAAAAAAAAAATTAATTTATTTGGTTTTAATGGGAAGGTTCCAGAACTAAGCATGTCACCTGATTCTGATATAATATATGCCACAATGGGTTTTCCACTTGGTACCAGGCCGTCTATCGAACCACCTAAAGAAAAACCCCCACCACCGCCTTTGGAACTAAGCGATGATGAATCCAACAAACCTGAATTACCACCTAAACCATCTTTAAGACGATTGGATTCGACAAAACGTATAAAAAAAGAAATTCGTAAAAAAAGATCAGATTTTTTGGGTATCGAAGGTTCGAACGATGATAGTTACTTAGAACCAGGTCAGATTAATAATAATAATGATGGTGTTGTTGTCGAGAGAGAATGTAAATTTTAACGTTTTTTTTTTTTAATTAATGTTAGAAATCTACGTGTCTCCTCCACCGGACATGATGACGTTTTTACAAGAAGAAAGAAGATTGGAACAACAATTGTATCGTCAATCGATATGTTCAGAAAGCGATTCGAATCACGAAACGGCAGAAAGTCGAGATTCCGGCGTGGAATTAGATCGCGGACATGTTGATGATATATGTTGGTCAAAACCGGATGTTATGTCTGAACCACACAGTCGTCAAAACAGCGAGGTATTCATCGATAATAACAAAAATTTCTGAAATTAAATTCTGAACAATATTTTTTCTATTATATTCGATATATTTTAGACGTTCGGAAACACGAGCATCACTTCCGAGGAAGATGAAATACTTAAAAAGGAAAGAGAAATAATCGAAGTTTTGGAAAAAGAAGAACAATGGCGATACGGTAATAAAAATTCACACAATCCTGAACAAAACGACATAGGTATGAAAACAACCTTAATTATAATAATAATGATGATGATGATGATGATGGTGGTAGACACAATGATGATGATGATGGTACAATTAAATGAGTTTTTTTTTTTTCATTTTACGCAGGTGAAAAATTAGCAGTTAAATTAAGACAATTAGAACAGGAAAAAATGCAATTGGAAAGAGAAAGAGCAGAAGAAGAAGATAGAAGGAAAGCAGAAGAATCAGCAAGACGACAAAACGAACAAAGATTAATTGCTAAACAACAAGAATTACGAGAGCAAGAGGTAAAATCATTATTATTATTATTCTAATTTTTTTTTAACGAATAATAAAATTTGCATGGCTCGTTATTTACACGTATACGTAATAATAATAATAATACTTATTATTATTATTATTATTATTTTAACGAATAAAATAAAATAAATTAATAATAATGTGGGAAACTAATTACGGAAACTAATTTTTTTAATTACGATTAAAAATTTCTTTTCTATTTTTTCGTTGTCGTTGTCGTTGTTGTCGTTGTCATAGAGAAAGAAAACGATTCTTTATAAACAAATCGAGTTTATCGTTTCTATGAAATTTTTTTTTGTTTTTCTTTTTAGCCGTCGAATTTTGTGAAAATTTTGGATAATTAGGTATTTAATATAATTAATTTTAATTTGTTTTTTTTTATTTGTTTGTTGTAATTAAATCAAATTTTTTTTAGCGGTAGTTCGCCTATTATCATTATTATTTATTTTTTGAACGTGTTAGAAAGTAAATTAATGCTTTATCCGTTATAAATAAATGAAAGAAAGGAAAAAATCATAGAGTAAATAAATAATTTTTTTTTTTTTTATTTAAATTTTCATATAATAAGTTTTTATATTGTTTTTCTATCTATCTCTTTCTCTCTCTTTCTCTCTTTTTCTGTACTATGACGATCTTTTTTTTTTTTTGTTTGTTTAAACCAAAAAAAAGAAAATGGCTTCCATGTATATAAGGCTTTTTTGTTTTAACTTTCTTTTCAGAATTCAAAATCTCTCTCTAACATGGATTCTGCTCTCGACCAGGTGAGGATAAACTCATTATCTAATTAATTATTAATTTTTGGTGTCTTCTTCTTCTCCTTCTTCTTCTTCTTCTTTTGTAGTTATCGTCTAATTACACGTCTCTATAATTAACTTTACTTTTGTTTGTTTGTTTGTTTTTTTTTATTATTTGCTTGTTTGTTTTTATTCTGTTTGTTTGTATTGTATTTAAATAGATTAGTTTATTTTTTATAAATGCTTTCTATTTTTTTTTTCTTCTTCTTATCGTTTTCCATCTTATCCATTTTGTGTGTTTTGTGAATTTTTTTCTGTTTGTTTAAATTTGAATTGTTTGTTTTTAGGAAGCTCTTCGTTTCGAACGCGAACGCCTTCACAAAGAACAAGAACATTTGGAAAGATGTCGGCAAAATTTAATGAAACAACAACAACAACAACAGCAGCAACAACAAAATCCCGATACGAACGTACATCACAGAAGCAACAGTTCATCTCATTGGGACACACCCTCCAACCGTCACTCCTTGCAAGAAGTCCCTATCGGGGTACCATTATTGGACGTACCTCGTCATTCCATGCAAGACGTATCCCAACCGCCACAATATCAATCCCACATGAGTTCCGGTTACAGGTATTCTCTCCCTGATTTACAACAGAGAGAACAACCCGCGAGATCCTCTCGTCCTCCACCACCTCCAATCCCTCCTGCCAAACCCATAAGATCCCTTTCTCAAGATCCGTGGGGAAGAGAAGCGAACATACGAAACAGTAGAATACCCTCGGCCGATAACATACCGTTAAAAATAGAAACCTCGACGAAATTGAGGCACGGGTCTTCGGTACCTGCAATCAATTTAAATCACGGAGCTCAACAAATGACGAGATCCACCCTTCAAGCTCTTAGTGCTGCTCCAAGATCTCGTATTATAAGTAACGAAAATTGGATGCAGCCAAAGAGGAAAGTAGATGCTCCAAAATCAAATTATAATTATCAGCATTGGTTAATTCAGGTGAGATTCTCCCTCTTAACCCCCCCGTCCCCCGCACCCCGCCCAACATTTTCCTTTTAATATTTTTTTTATTTTTCCGTTCTCGCAGGAAGCGGAACATAGAAGGATTTTAGAACACCAACAAAAAGTCGCATCGCAACAACTTCAATCGAAAAATTCATCGACATTACCTTTATTTAACGGACAACAATCGGGGGGAAATTATGGGGGTTCACCTCCGAGTCATCACACTGTCGGACTTCCCATATCTCCCCCTCCACAACCCGTACAAAATCAAAAATGGGTTGTTTCCCCCTTAAGAATCGACAAACCATTACCGGATGCAGTCATACAAACATTAACGCAAAGAGTTCAAAACAGAGAATCTAAAACCCCGCCCAGAAGAAGGTAAAAAATAATAATAATAATAATTTTGTCGTCTTTATAATTTCAAAAAAAATCGATTAATCGATATATTTTTAAAGAGTCGAAAATTCTGGAACTTCACTTCCGAATAAAATAACACAATCAGAAAATGTTTCGTCGATAAACCCATCCGGACAACAACAACAACAACAACAATCTCAGGAAAGAATGTTGAGCGTAAGCGGAAAGAAAAAATGTTCTCATTGCAACGAAGAATTAGGTAAGTGTGAGAGAGAGAGAGAGAGAGGGGGGGGGAGCCCCTCTCCCCACGCTCGCTTCTCTTAATTAAAAAAGAAAATTTTCTTGTTCAGGTCGAGGTGCAGCCATGATAATCGAAAGTTTAAGATTATTTTATCACATCGATTGTTTTAAATGTTGCGTCTGCCACGTGCAATTGGGAGATGGTCTCATGGGTACCGACGTACGCGTTCGTAATAATAAACTTCATTGCCATAATTGTTATTCGAGTGATGACGGTAAACATTTTTTTTTTTTTTTTCTCTTTTTATTTAATGCATGCCCCATCATCACCAATGATACCAACAAAATAACGTGGAAGGAGAAAAACGAAACAAATTTTTATTTTCACTCTCCCTTTCGCTTCCGTCCCCGTCTTCGTCCCCGTCCCATACATATTATTACTTTTATCTACTTCCACGTTATTAATCAATAAATAAATAAATAATAATAATAATTATTAATAATGTTTTTCTTTTTGTTTTTTTTTTTTTGGTTTGTAGGTGTGAAGTTTAGTTGTGTTTGAAAACATTTTTATTATCGATTTAAAAACCCTCCGGACGACGAGAGAGTTTTCATTTTCCTTTTTTTTTTCTGTTTTTAAGTGATTAATAAAAAAATTTTTTTTTTGTTTAACCGAAAAGCAAAAAAAGTTTCTGTGGGTTTGTTGTGTTGTGTTGTGTTATGTTGTTGTGTTGTTTTATTATTATTATTTTGTATATTATTCGAAAAAATTGTTGATATGGACAAACAAAAAGAAAATGTTTTTTTTTTTTTTTTTTTTTATTTTACACACGCCTTACATATAAATAATTTGTTTTATATTAATATTAATAATAATAATAATAATATATAGTTGTACTTATATAATAATAATAATAATAATAATATATCGTTAATTTTTATTTTTACCTTTTTTTTTTTAAATATTTTTCACTCGTACCTATTTTGTTTTTTTGTTGTTATTGGACGCCATTTTTTTTCCCCCGAGAAATTTGGGGGTGGATAATACATAAATAAAGGTACGTATAAAAAATATATCATGTTTTTATTATTATTATTATTATTATTGTGGTAAAAAAAAAAAAAAACTCGAAGGGTAACGAAAAGGTAAAAATTTCTTTCAGAAAGAAGAAAAGATGATGATGATGATGATAATGAGGCAACACCGGAAGTACGTATGATTCGTTACGAAGATGAAGATGATGATGATAATGATGAAATGGTAAAGTTAAAAAATTTCATTCAAAATGATAATGATAATGATGATTTTTTATCAAAAGAATTATTTTTATGCGATGATGAAAACATTCCCGAATGGTTTAATAAATTTTATACATTTTATTGTAAAAACGAAAAAAAGAAAAATTTATTTTATAACGAATTAATATTGAAATTAATCAATTACGAAATCGATAAATTTGAATTAATAAAAAATATCATCGATCTTTTAAAAATTTGATTGATTTGTTTCTCAACAAATGGGGGAGAAAATGTCGGCCATTTTTTTTTTTTTTAATTTTATTTATATAAAAAAAATTCGTATCGATAATATATATAAATATTTATTTAATAAAATTTGTTTAAACGGTTAAATTATTCTCTCTCTTTCTCTCTCTCTCTCTCTCTCTCTAAAATATACTAAAAATAATTTAGAAAAAAAAAAATCACTTTGAAATTGGAAAACGAAAAACCGTTAAAAATCATTAATTAAATTAAGTTTTTTTATTTATTTATTTATTTTTTTTTTTTGGCAGTTGGCAATTCGACCAAGGAATCCTCGTATCGTAAAAAATTTTTTTTTTTTTAGTTTTTATTATTTAATCGTTGCGAAAGGAAACGTACAATTTTTTTTACAAAAAAAAATCGTTTCAAATGAATTTTTGAAAAAAAAAAAAAAAAAAATGGGTAACGCGAATAAAAAAATTGAAAAAATTAATAATGATGGTGACGTAATAAAAAATAATGATGACGTAACCAAATCTCAAGATCGTTTGAGTTCCGAATCGGATGAGGAGGATGAAAGTGAAAATAGCGAACTGGAAATTATTGATGACGAAACGGATGAAGGAAATGAGTCCTTAGGGAGATTTCGTAGAGATGTTAAATATCCTCCCAATTCCAGGTTTGTTTCTTTTTTTTTTATTACCCCTTCCCTCCCCCTTCTCCCTTTTAATAAAAATTATTATTATTATTTTCACTCATAATCGCGAAGACAATTCGTCTTAATGTTTGTCGGATTGTTTTTCAGAACATTTATTCCAGGTTTCTATACGATTCCTAAGGAATAAATGCTTGAATATAAGTGATGCTGCATGCCTGACGAATAGGTTTTATAACCTATGACATGACAACAATTCTTGTAAGTCTCACTGAGACCATCTTATTCGATGGAAAAGAGTTATCTCCTGTACTCCTGGGCTCCAGTGACTGACATCTCTGGAATAATAACCAGGAACAGGAGAAGTGAGATAAGTGGCTCAGTGTCAACAATAGAACAAGATCTGCCTTTTGGTCTTTATCTTGTTCTCATTTTGCTTTATTACAATTATGAATCAGTTATCATATAAATTTTTCCTCAGAACTATTTCAATACTTAATTTTCCCACAATTTTCCCTCATGCATTCCATCTTTAATGCATGCACAGTACACAAATTACAATTTTGTACCTAAAAAACTTAAGTAATCTAATGTTACTAATATATAGTATAATATAATAGTAATAATTAATAATATTATAGTAATATATTAAGTAATTAAGACAGTTGAATTTTTCTTATCTTAACTGAAATTTTACACTAAAAATATGGTAAAATACGCCAAGATGTATCAGGCAAACATAAGAAAATGGTGGTTGTAAAATAACATACAATGAATGTTTACACTTATAATCAGGAGTACAAATAAAAAACAAATAATGTAAAAAATTAATTATATTACAATAAAGTAGACTAAATAATAAAACTTTTGATGTATATAACTTATAACTAAATTATTAAATAAAACTATGGAAATCAATGAAATAAGTTGACATGACGTAACTGTATGTCAACTCATGTAATTAATTTTAACCGTTGTTATTATTATTATTATTGTCACTTTTAAACACGACAAGATTTTTATTTGTCGACATTTATTCCAAGTCTCTCTACCCGATTCCTTAGGGAATAAATGCTCGAATTTCGGTGGTGCTATTTATAATATTTTCCGAAGAATGTGGGCCGTTCCACATAGTGCGATTTCCTGGATGGTTTCTTCTTTTAAATTTCCTTTTATTGAATGTGGTGGCATGGCTCCCAGTGCTGCTCCCACGATGACCGGAATAGTTTCTGTTTTGACTCCCCACATCCTGGGTATATCAACTTTTTGCTCGCTTCTTTGGCTGTGGTATTTTTTTCTGCCGGCACGGATACTTCAATCAGGTTACACCATTTTTCCACATGATGCTTCTCAGGATGATATCCGGTTTGTTGGCTGGCACAGTTCTGTCGGTGTGAATTTGTTGATCATACAGAACTGTGCATGAACCTACTGTTGTAACCGGGCTTGGAATGTGGTTGTACCACTCCTTGGATTATCCATCACATATTCTACAAGTCCTTTTGATGGGATTCTATATATTTTCCCATTCCAATTATGGCATTCTGGTATGCCGCTTATTATTATTATTATTATTATTATTATAATGACGACAATTCGTCCTGATGTTTGTCGGAGCTTTTTCAACATATATTCCAGGTTTCTACCCTTCTACCTTTCTGATGTATCAGAAAAACATAAGACCCCAAGAGGTATAAAGTAAAATAAAATAAAAAATGAATAAAAATAAAATAAAATGCAACATTGGGTTCCCGCTTAAAATAAAATGTGTGCCAGGTAAAATATACAAGGTCGTCCTACTTAGCGTAAACAGTAAACAAGGTCGACCTTGGTTGAAAAAACGTGGCCATGAAAATTTTCACAAAATTAAATTTTAAAACTGGTGGCCTTGAATTCAAGGTCGACCTTGGTTGACAAATCGTGACCATGAAAATTTTCACAAAATCGAAATGTAAAACTAATGGCCTTGGATTCAAGGTCGACCTACTTTAGAATAAATCGTAAACGTTGGATTTTCGCGGTCATTTTTAACTTGATTTTTAATCGAACATTTTTTTTCCGATGTATCCGTAAAACATAAGATCCGAGGAGGTTTTTTAATAAAAAATAAAATGGAACAGTGAATTTTCCCTTAAAATCAGGAGTACAAAATAAAAAACAAATATTTAATATTAAAAAAAATAATTATATTACAATAAATTAGGCTAAATTACAAAACTTTTGATACATACATAACTTCTTATAACTAAATCACTAAATAAAATTATTAAAAATTAATTTAATAAGTTGACATGATGTAAACGCATGTCAACTTAATCAATTTTAATTATTATTATTATGGTCACTTTTAAACACGACAAGGCTCTTATTTGTCGGGGTTTTTAAGTATTTATCCCAGGTTTCTACCCGATTCCTTAGGGACAAATACTCGAATTTCGGTGGTGCTATTTATAATATTTTCCGAAGAATGTGGGCCGTCCCACATAGTGCGATTTCCTGGATGGTTTCTTCTTTTAGGTTCTTCAAAATCTTCTTTAAATTTCCTTTTATTGAATGTGGCATGGCTCCCAATGCTCCCACGATGACCGGAATCGTTTCAGTTTTTGTTCCCCACATCCTGGTTATTTCAATTTCCAAATTTCTATATTTTAGCCTTTTGTCTGCTTCTTTGGCTGTCTCGTGTTTTTTTCTGCCGGCACGGATACCTCAATTAATTTACACCATTTTTCCGCATTATGCCTGAGGATGATATCCGGTTTGTTGGCTGGCACAGTTCTGTCAGTTTGGATTTGTTGATCATACAGAACTGTGCATGGGTCTACTGTCGTAACCGGGCTTGGAATGTGGTTGTACCACTTCTTGGGTAATCCATCCATTCCATATTCTCGGCATATATTCCAGTGGAGATATTGACATATTTTATTGTACCTTTCTAAGTATTCATGTTTTGCCAGTATGGGACAACCGGAAATTAAATGATCGATGGTTTCCGATTGAGATTGGCAAATTCGGCACTTGTCATCTTGGCGGACTTTGAGAATTACTTTCTCATAGTTATGGGTCCGCAATGCCTGATCTTGAGCCGCTGTAATAAACGCTTCCGTTTCAATTTTAAGTTTTCCACGTCGTAGCTAATTGTGCGTGCTCTTCTTATTAATATCTTCGGCATTTATTCTTTTTAGATATTACCCATGCAACTTTTTCTGTTCCCATTTGCCTTTTAATTTCTTCTGAGATTGGGCTTTGCTATCATAAGTTGCAAGTTGCCCTTCTTCCATTATCTCGTTTTCTTTATTTTCTTTGACGATTTGTTTTGCTCTTTTCAGTACTCCTTTTTTTTTAATTTTTTCTTCTGCATGTATAACTTGGGCTAAGATAGGGTCCTCTTGATGAGATTCCATGTATTTTCCCATTCCAATAATGGCATCCCGGTATGCCGCTTCTATTTGTCGTAATCCTCTTACTCCATCTTTCCTGCTGACGTACAATCTATCCACATCAGCTTTTGGATGTAACGCACCATTCATGGTTAATATTTTCCTTGTTCTTCGGTCCAGGTGCGTGATTTCTTCTTTCGTCCAGTCTACGAGGCCAAAACTGTATTCTATTACTGGATCTGGTAATGTGCCGCTTGGCGTTTAACTTATTTCTTCCATTCAGTTCCGACTGTAATATAAGCCTCAATCTTTTAAATATTCTTTCTTCAATCGCGGCTTGACCCCAAAATTTTCTTCAATCCCCAGATATTTGTATGTTGATCCAGGGTCCAATTCTTTAGGCAGTGGAAGTTGGCGAACCTCGTGCTGCTAGAAAAACCGGGTAGGGACCCGTCGACGCCCGGCGCTTATCGGCCGATTTGCCTTCTCGACGTGGAGGGCAAGTTGTTCGAGCGCGTCGTCGCGTCGCGGATAATCGGTCACATGGGGGCGGACGGAGGGAGGAACGATCTCTCTCCGAATCAATACGGCTTCCGGGCGGGCCGTTCGACCATCGACGCGCTCGTTCGAGTCCGGGACGCCATAAAGGATGCTCTGCGCCGGGGCGGAGTTGCGATCGCGGTTTCGATCGACGTGAAGAACGCGTTCAATTCGGTTCCGTGGTCGGCGATACGGGACGGGCTGGTGGCGAAGTCCGTGCCCGATTACCTCGTTTCAGTGATAGGGTCCTTCCTCTCGGAGAGGAAGATTTCGTACGAGAAGCCGGACGGAACGACGGAAACGGCGGACGTTTTCTGCGGCGTGCCCCAGGGGTCGGTCCTCGGACCGCTCCTCTGGAATATCGCCTACGACTGCGTCCTCACCCGGACCGTCCTTCCCGAAGGTTGCTCTCTCGTCTGTTACGCGGACGACACCCTGCTCCTCGCGACCGGTCGCGGGTGGGCGGAGGTCCGGGATCGTGCGGAAGCGGGACTGGACGCGACGGTGGAGGTCATTCGGAGCATCGGACTCCGGGTGTCTCTGCCGAAAACGGAAGCCTGCGGATTCCACCGTCTGAGGAATCGGCTTCCCAACGGCCTGGCACTGTCGTCTGGGGGAGTGAGGATCGGGGTGGGGAGGACGCTGGGGTACCTGGGGGTCACCTTCGACTCGGGTCTCACTTTCGGGCAACACCTCGCGCTCCTCGGACCGAAGATCCGAGCCGCGAGCGCATCGTTAGGGCGTCTGATGCCGAACCTGCGGGGTCCGCGGGCGAGGGTCAGGCGATTGTACGCGTCGGTCGTTCACTCCGTGGCCCTGTACGGAGCACCGGTGTGGGCCGAATCGGTGGCGGCGTCGCGGCCGCTTCGCGAGAGGGCGATCCAACTCCAAAAGGCGTCTCTGAACAAGGTGGTGACGGCGTACAGGGACGTGGCGGCGGAGGTGGCTTGCCTTCTGTCGGGAACTTCCCCGCACGATCTCCTCGCGATGGAGAGACTCGTCCTCTACCGCGAGCGGGGTCGCGGGGGGCCGAGGAGAGCCCGATTCCGCAGGGAACTTCGCGATCGCACGGTCCGAGCGTGGCAGGCGCGGTTCGTCGACGGGCGCAGGCGTTACGGGGGGGAAATCATAGAGGTTCTTGGTCCCCGAATGGGGGACTGGGTGGGGCGGGGTCACGGAAACTTGACTTATCGTCTCGCTCAGGTCCTCACGGGCCACGGAGTGTTCGGCTCGTACTTGGCGCGCATCGGGAGAGAGGCGACGACGGAGTGTTGGTTTTGCGGTGCGCCCGAGGACGACGTCGAGCACACGGTCGCGAAATGTCCCGCGTGGGACGATCACAGGCAGCGGCTGGTCGGCATCGTCGGACCCGACTTGTCGATCCGCGGCCTCGTGACTGCATTGCTTCGCGGACCCCGGGAATGGTTCGCCGTTTCGCGATTTTTAGAAGCGGTCCTGCGGGCGAAAGAGGACCACGAACGGGAACGCGAAAAGTCCGGAGTTCGTCGTCGCATGCTCCGGGCGAGTAGGTTTAAGGATAGGTTAGAGGATAGGTTACAAAATAGGATTAAGGCTAGGTCTAAGGTTAGGTTAAGGTCTCTAAATCCCGCTGATGAAGAAGGCGAGGAGGAGGAAGAGGAAGAAGAGATGGCGGAAGGAGCTGATCCAGGTCTTCGTCATCGGCCGTGGGAAAGGAAGCGTCGTCGTCGGAACGAGGAGAAAGAGGAAGAAGAAGAAGGAGAGGACGGCGACGAGCGCGAGCTTCGTCGTCGGTAAGTCTTCTTTACAATTTCTAGGAGGTCGGCGGTCCCGGTCGATCTCCTCTGTCTATCTTGCCCCCCGCTTATTCCTCATTACCCGTTAGGAGAGAATGTGGTCAACAAAAGTCTTCTCTTTCTTCTTTAATTTACCCTTTTGCTAAGGTGGCGAAGTTTTAGTCTATCCCCCCCCGCCCCGGTCGCGTTCTCTGGAAGCAGGCGCGCTTTCATCCCTTTCCCCCGCAGCGAAGAACCGGAGGACATTCCCGAAAGGGATTGCCGAACGTCCTGGGACATACGTCTTCATCTTCGAGGCGGAGACGGAACGAAGATTAGGGCGGATCTGTTGGGGAGCAACAGATAATCGTGTGGAACGGTAACGTTCTGGCTTACCGGAGAGGGGAGACTGAAATGTAGGTTCTACTCCCACGAGCGTCTCCCCCCCCCTCTTCACATAAGCCACGCTATTGCGACATGCCCAGGAGTTTTAGTGGGTATGGGTTCCCGGTGAGGCTTTCTTTCGAACCATACCGATCCCCACACTCTCTCCTTTATAAGGAGGGGTTAGTGCGTAACTGCATTTCTCCTGGGTCATCAAAAAAAAAAAAAAGGGTCTAATTCTTTAATAAGTTCTTCTTCGGAGTCTTCTATATTTTCCTTCCGTTTTAACTTTCCTCTGACAATATAAACTTTTGCACATTTTTCCAAACCAAATTTCATGTTGATGTAAGAGGAAAAAGTTTGAACCATCCTTAGCATTTTATTTAACTCCTCTTCATTTTTTGCATAAATTTTTAAGTCATCCATATACAGCATATGGGTGATTTTCCTGCCTCCCGGTACCAACTCATATCCTTCAGTCGCAGAAGTATAACTCCCATTTCAGCCTCAACCTCAACCCTTCTCTGACAGCAGGAATCATCAGATCTGAACTCACAAAGGTGAGAGCAGATTCCCCTCTGGCATAGGCAGTTGCAGAGATCCATTCCACCCAATTGTGATACTCCCCTCAACCATGTGGGAGGCATTCCCGAGGTATCACTTTCGGTCTTGCCTCCCATAATTACACATGTACATATACATACATAATTTAATACAGTATTCATGTTAGAGTGAATTCATATTCAGATAAATGAGAAACATTTGATCTTTCTGCGACTATCCTACGATAATCCCAACAGTGAAAATTTCTTTCGTCTAATTGAAGATATTTTGTGCAAAGGTTTAATTCTTTGTTCCAATCAGGTTTGGGTAAATTGTCCAATATCCATATTCTATGATGCCAACTACCATATGATTTTGGATTTACTCTCAGGCACTGTTCTGTCAATTGTAAATCTTTTTCCAATAGTTTTTGATAACTTTCCAAATCCTCGTCGTTTTTAAACGACAAAAATATTTCTCTTCTATAATTCCATAATGTTATTATATCCGGATTTCCTGTTAATAAATTACCGGTGAGATTTAAACCTTCTTCGTCGTGAATTTGTGAAGAACGAATGTTTTTTATGAATATTTGATTCATTATTTTTTTAAATTCTATTGCCTTTTTCTGTTTCTCTTGCCTTGCGATTTCTTTTTGTTCTTCTGTCGTTCTCACTTTGACTCTTCCGTGCATTTTGTAATTTCTTTAAAAACAAATTTTACGATTTTATTTGAAATTAGTACGGGAAAAATTACTCACAGTTTGAAATAGTAAAAATAATAGTAATATATGTAAACAACCATAGACATCAATTTAAACTTAATTATATCGATGGTAAATAAAGTGTCATTAGAAAAATGTATTTCACTTTAACGTGGAACTTATAAAAATATGGAAGCTTTTAACGTAGCCAATACATGAATATTTTCGTTAAATAATTTGTTTTATGTAAATTATTGGGTTGGCCAGTAAGTAACTGCGCATTTTACCACCAGATAGTTTGTCCGGTTTTCTGAGTACGTTTACGTTTATGTACAAACATGAACTTTTGGTATGTTATTACTTGGTTCCTTCTGTAACATTCAGTACCAAAATTTCATTGAATTCTTAAATAGTGCGCGAGCAAAAGACATTTAAACATGGGGAGCCAAAGCGAGCATATCCTCCACATTTTGCTTTTTTATTTCTGAAAGGGTGTTAATGCTTCACAAGCCAATAAAAAGTTGTGGGCCGTGTAGGGGGATGAAACCTTAATAGAACGGCAGTGTCAAAACTGGTTTGCGAAATTCCGTTCTGGAGATTTTCCTTTGAAAAATGAGGAGCGCTCCGGGCGTCCATTGGAGGTTAATGATGAGCAAATAAAGGCCCTCATTGATTATGATCGGCATAGTTCGGCTAAGGACGTTGTAAAGAAGCTAGATGAGTCACATACGTGCGTCAAAAACCGTCTGCAACGTCTTGGGTACCAAAAGAAGCTTGATGCGTTACTTTGGGGAACGTTAGTTAACGAGGCAACTTGGTCTTTGTGATATGCTTCTTAAACGCAATGCGAATGACCCTTTTTTGAAAGAATGGTCACCAGAGATGAAAAGTGGGTTGTTTATGATGACTTTTTGAGAAAAAGATCCTGGTCTAGGCAAGGAAGCAGGCACCTTAGAACTTCTAAGGGTGACATTCACCAAAAAAGTTATTGTTATCATTTTGGTGGGCTTACGAAGGCATAGTCAACTTTGAGCTGCTGCCACGAAGTCAGACCATAAATTCAGAGGTTTACATTCTACAATGGACAAATTTAAATGATACCATCCAAGAAAAACGATTGAAGCTAGCCAATAGCAAAGGAATTGTCTTTCACCATCATAATGCCAGGCCCTCCCCATCTTTAGCCACTGGACAAAAACTACTGGAGCTAGGTTGGGATGTTTTGCTGCACCCTTCATATAGTCCCAAAGTAGCTCAAAATAATTATCATTTTTTCCAATCCCTAAAAAATTTTTTGAACGGACAAAAATTCCAAAACGACAATAAGGTCAAAACTGCATTGGACCAGTTTTTTGCTCCTAAAACTAAAGAGTTTTATGAAAAAAGGAAAATGATACTACCCAAAAAATTTCAAAAGGTCACCAATAATAATGGACATTAAAAAAAAACTTGAAAAACAGCAAAAATTAGAAGCGGAACAGAAACGACGTCAAAAACATCAGGTAAAAATAAACGGATGTTCGTGATATAATTGAGAACGTTTTCATAAAAAAATTTTTAATTATTTTTTTTTTTTTTTGTTTTAAAAAGGAATATTTGGCTGCTGTGCTGCAACATTCGAAAGATTTCAAAGAGCATCACCGTAATAATTTGGCCAAAGTGGCAAGGTTAAACAAAGCCGTATTGAATTATCATGCGAACGCGGAAAAAGAGCAGAAGAAAGAACAGGAAAGAATCGAAAAAGAACGTATGAGACGTTTAATGGCCGAAGACGAAGAAGGTTACAGGTAGGTTGAGCGAGAGAGATAGAAAACAATTCAAAAAGTTTAATTTAGTTATAATGAATGTTTTTCCTTTTTCTTTTTTTTTTTTTCTAGAAAATTAATCGATCAGAAAAAAGATAAACGTTTGGCTTTTCTTCTCTCTCAAACCGATGAATACATTAGCAATCTTACAGAAATGGTTAAACAGCATTAATGTTTTGTTAACAACGTACGAATACGTCATAAAAGGCAAAGGAGTGTTGGCAAAGGTAACTTGTCTTGAGGACATTAAAATAATTTATTAATTTCTCTGTCTCTCTCTCTCTCTCTTCTCTCTTCTCTCTTTCTCTCTTTCTCTCTTTCTCTCTTTCTCTCTTTCTCTCTTTCTCTCTTTCTCTCTTTCTCTCTTTCTCTCTTTCTCTCTTTCTCTCTCTCTCTCTCTCTCTCTCTCTCTCTCTCTCTCTCTCTCTCTCTCTCTCTCTCTCTCTCTCTCTCTCTCTCTCTCTCTCTCTCTCTCACGTGTTTAACTTTTGGTTTTTTTGTTGGTTTTAGCGATGGAAGAATTCTCAGCGAACCTTTCATGAAATTACCATCTAAAAATAAATTACCGGATTATTACGACATAATAAAAAAACCTTTGGATATAAAGAAAATATTTAACAGGATAGAAGATGGAAAAGTAAGCTGGGGGGGTGGGAAGGGGTGGAAATGGAAAAAAAAGGGGGGAAAGGTTTCATTCTCACTCTTGTCGTTGTTGTTTCAGTATTCGGATTTTGACGATTTGGAAAAGGATTTCACTCAAATGTGTAAAAATGCTCAAATATACAACGAAGAAGCTTCTCTCATACACGAAGATTCGATCGTACTTCAATCCGTGTTTACGAACGCGAGACAAAGATTGGAACAGGATGCGGAAACGGATGAGGATAAAGGTGATGATGAAAGAATCGCTTAAAAAAGGATTTTTGTTCGTCGAATTTTATTTATTTTGGATTTTTTAAATTTTCAGACGGTGGAGACGAGGATGGAAATTCCGAATCGGAATCCGTTAGAATGAAAATAAAAATAAAAAGTGGAAAAGGAGGAAGAGGAGGTGAGGGAATAGGAAGCACGAGAAGGAGGAAAATTCAACCAAAGTACACGAATAGCGATGACGAAGACGAAGATGATTGATTGGAAAGAGGAAAAAAGAAGAAGAAGGAGGAGGAGGGAGAGGAGGAAAAGGAGGAGGAAAAAGAAGAAACAAAAAGGAAAAGAAAAGGAATAGGAAGAAGAAAATAGATATTGCATAAAATTACATGTTGAATAATTATGGGAAAAAAAAGACATAAAAAAAATTTAATTTTAATAAAAATATAATTTATTATTGTGAATTAAAATTTTTCTTTTTTTTTT